TAATAGATAGGGTACCCGGTTCCAGGGATGGTGTCCCCAACAAGATGTTTCCATTGTCTGGGTACTGAGACCCGCAGCGAAGTAGCGGGGACCCGGTATTGCCATCGGGACCACGACGAGGATAGAGGTCCTAACGTACGAGAGGCAACCGCTTAGGTGATGTCATCCCATCCCGTCCGTCCGTGAGGTGGCTCCGGGGGTCGGACTGGTGGTGACCACCTAACTAAAACATTTGACTAGTTTGGTGTAACCGCAAATTATCATGATCCCCCCCTGAATCGGATCCAACGGGTCTGATGGGATCGCTACGCGATTTAAAGTATACGGTTGGGACTCAGCGCTTCGCGCTCCAACATAGGCGTACCACCTGTTAAGGATCCGGTTTGCCACTCGGACATCCTAATTAGGGTAGGGTACCCGGGTCGGGATCGTTTGTGCTCTCCATCCACGTATATTGAGCATCGAAGATGCTGGGCTACAATCCTGATCATACGACCATCACGTTTTAGGAGTGCTGAGCGCTGCATTACACGATGAGCTAAAGCTCATTCCAGCTACACCCTCCTTAAACATTTACACCGGCTTCGACCCTTTGGGATGGTGACTCTGGCTTATAATTCATTTTACCTGGATACCTGGGGCCAAGACTAGGAGTGAAACCGATACCGGGACCACTGGGGACCGATCATCCAATTACCTGGGCTCGTTGCTCCGGATATCCAACTTTTCGGGTGGTGGCCCCGCCAAGAGGGGAAAAGTGATTAAGGGTGGCAGGACTCGAACCTACACTCATGGTACCAAAAACCATTGCCTTACCGATTTGGCTACACCCTTTTCGTGGACCGTTGTGATGACCTCAATCCCGACGCGTTCCGGGGGGTCGAATAGGAGCCGATGGTACCGTTATTCAGCAGCAGTGTCAAGGAAGTTAATGTAAGAAGGGATAGTAACGGCTTTAATACCAATAGGCATATAGGCATGCATAATTCCACATAGCTCAGAACATTGACCATAATAAGTAGATGGACGGTTAATAATGAAACCAACAGAGTTCAAACGTCCAGGAATAGAATCACATTTGACACCTAGAGAAGGTACAGCGAAGCTATGGATTACGTCGTTAGAGGTAATCAACATACGAATGGAAGTATCAACAGGTAGAACTAGATAGTTATCTACTGCCAATTGGCGTAGTTCACCGAATTCAAGAGAGGCTTCATCTTTCATAAAGCTATCAAAGGCAATCGGAGTTTCGTAGTCCGAATATTCATAAGACCAATACCATTGATTACCGATGGCTTTGACAGTGATTTCAGCATCTAGGATTTCATCCATCATATACTATAGTCGAAGACTTGGAAGACCAATAGCCCATAGAATACCTGCAGGGGTAATAGTCCAAATCAATTCAATCAAATTACCATGGTGTAGATAAGTCATGTGGTCAGGATTAGTTAGAGCACTAATAAGGAACCAGCCGACAACGACTAGAATGATCAATAGGAAAAAGATAATACGGTCATGCAAGTCAATAATAGCGAACATCCAAGTAGAACCTGGGTCTTGGAATCCAGTAGCATATTGTAGAGGGTAATCACAATATGTGATGTTAATTCCGATAACATGGTTGATAGCTCCGATCATATGTGTGTGTTACAATTTGGTCTCCTAATACGGTCTCATAAGACCCTCTCTTATCTTATCTGATTCATTGGATTCATTTTATATGTTTGGTTGTTACAATCGCGAGATGGGCCTGGATCGATGAACAACAAAGAAGAGAGTGAACGTAGCTTGCGATGGTATACCCGACCGACACTAAGGGGCACAATTGTGGTCCCGGCTATCAGGGAACCCTTATCGATCGTCGGGTGGTCGCCCTGCACTAATAGGTAGGTGCCGGTGCCTTAACGATCACCAATCCTGATGTCAACGTACTCTGACCCCGTAGGGGCTGTATTGGTGTCGCGTAGCGCCGGATAGGGGTAACCCCGATCATAAACTTTCGTCACCCCGGTGTTGGGTTGAGGCCTACCCACGCCACGCCGGAGCCTGCCAAGGGGCGGGCCGGGTCAGCGCTTTGCGCTTCGATTGCCATACGATCTCTAGTTGCTCCTGGGAACGAACAGATCAACAATGATCATGGATTAAATGGTCCGTAGGCCGGACGAACGACCAACGCCGTTACACGATCTGCAGCAGGCCACCAGGGACGGGTAGGAGGGTCACCAAGGGGTATAGGCTGTGTTATACGGTTAAGTGTCACTGGAGAACGCACAGCACCGGGTATCATCAGGTCAGACCAGAGCATTAGGATATCATGGAGCCCTCGGTCCACCGGTGGGCAACAATCAAAGGGCTACGCACAATCGACCAATGGTCTACGTAGAGCGGTTCACTACTCATAATGCGGATTCCATGTACCCTTGCATCAATCCTGATTCCCGGTCCTCATTTTCGCTTCCTTTAACGTCAATGGGGTGCCCAACATCATGAGTGAGACCCAGAGGGTCTGGGCTCCGCCATCCGCCTGGCAGCGGGTAATCGCGATGGTGCATACATGGGGGTCTGAGCGGCAAATTGGTACAGCGTCCCCGGTGCCCCTCCTACGGGCTGGGTCCTGGTTGATGAGGTACGTCCAGAGTCACAAATCAGTTGTCGGTGGGCAACAATGATCCGGGTGGTGGCCCCGCGACCAACACGTAAAACCTATTGCTCTGGTGGGTATGTCATTGTCGTCGTGACTCCGGCGCCTGTTACGATGGTATCATATCATCCTTGGGCGGTACCCATTATACGTAGTGGGTAAGTCTGATCATTGATGCTACTATGGGAACGGTGATGACACTGCTAATTGGATTGGACTCACAACACCATATGCCTTAAGAGGAATACAGATATGGATTTATCGAGGAGCCCTTCCACCTTCAAAGGGCGACGACGAGGTGTGGTGGCCCCGAACCAATCAAGGTGAGGGACGCCTGCCAACATGGAGCTCGGACCAATAAACATATCAATATCGCCTAATCATACGTAAGAAGATTAGATTAGTAAGGATGCATGTGGTGACCCTTATGAGATAGCATCCGTCCGGGGCTGAGCCTAATCCATATGGACGTCGTAACCCCTGATACCATGCGCTGAATGGTGTAGTCCCCCTTGCATTGCGTGGCTCCGAATTCAGAGACCCTTCTGGTCGGATATGAGTATCCCAGTGCCTTAACCACTTGCCACTTCGTTGACCCTGACCTGACTCGTACAGGAGTGCTTGCCTATCACAACCCTTGTCCGTGGTGACAGGTAAGGTGTGGTGACCCTTCTATTCGGTTCATGAACACTTCCTGCTTCGTTGGGCTCGATCCAGGGGATCATGGTACCATGATCGGAGGTCAATTACGTGGGTAGGGGGGGTATCCCCGACCGTTCGTTGGATCCTGATGGGCATCCTAGTGACCGGGTGGTGGCTCCGCAACAGAGCCCAGTCCCTTCGGAGGCCAATTCTGTGGGAACCCATCGGCTGAGCATCTTAAGCACCCTGACATGACACATAGGCCCGTATGGTGTCCGACCACGGACTTAGACCTATCCCATTCGGAGTCACGTAACCAGGTTTGTGGAACCGGCGTCGGGATGGTTCAACAGGGAGATCAGTATCGTGCAGCTCACTGCACTATCGGGACTACCAAGCCCTCTGGGATCTTGCTTCCCGGTGTTGAGGTATAGTGGGTCCCGTCCCCGTTGATCAATCAGGTCTAATGCCCCACCACGACTTTTAAGCACCGTGTCCAGTGGTAGGGGTAACCACAACCGATCAGGATCCTATCTTGTCTCTGGTCTGGCGCCCCACCGGATGGTGGGCTTAACTACCACCAATGTTCGACGCTGCGCGATTCCCTATTAAGCTGGCGCCTCCCACCATGTAAATCAACCTGGTATCAGGGGCAACCCCCGGGTCAGGACGTATCGGAGCGTGCGTAGCCATATACTTGGAACACCTATGGTGCAAACCGGTTCCCAATCCACCTGATGGACTCTGTCCCCTAGGGATATGACATAACCTTCGACCCTCTGGGATGTGCGATACCGTACTCGCAACAAAGTTTTTTTACCCGCCTAGTGTTGGGTTAAAGCTCGTATCGAGAAGGGTAACCATTGGTGCGTCACCTGGATCCTGTTCCAAGCAGACTATGTAGCGTGGTCCCGGTATATCGTTTGTCGTCGCCCTTGAATGGTGGCCCCGAGACCGAAGGACGGATTCGTAGCCCCGTACCCGGTGGCACAATGGTTGTTCCCCCTTATTACAGGACCCCTACGTGGTTGGTCTCGACTGAGTTATGGCACTGTACCGGGTCCCCGCCGGCATTTTATAATGCCTAGTGAATCCACCTAAATGCTCGATCAGATATCATGATGACGCTGCACCAACCGACGTTACGGTGCCACCCCGGGATGGAGCCTTGGATCAGGTAACGTAAGCAGGGTCTGGAAACACGAAAAATGGTACCGCATACCTTGAACCCGGGTCAGGTGGTGGCCTTGCGATCATATTGAATTGTCACCCGTCAAAGATCGACATCGAGCGATAGTGGCCCCGTTCACGATGATGGGACCTCACCGGTGTTGTTTATACCCGTCACCAAACTGGGCAAATGAATTAAGGTTAAAGGGGTCATAACCAGGACCGTTCCCGGTCGGGACGTTGTCAGAGGTGTGAATCTAGGGAATGTAGTTTAACGGTTAAAACACCAGCTTGTCGAGTTGGACGATGTGGGTTCGAATCCCATCATTCCCATTTTAATCGGATACCTGTATACCGGGACCAGCCGATTCATTTAATCGGTTACAATCTTATCTCGGTGTTGAGCACCTACGGTGCTGCCATCAAGAGACCCGATGGTATATTAGAATATCGTATATGGCCCTGTGGAGGAACTGGTAGACTCGTTAGACTCTAAATCTAATATCGAAAGATGTATGGGTTCAAATCCCATCAGGGCTAGGGGGGTATAGCTCAATGGTAGAGCAGTTGGCTTTTAACCAATTGGTTGTAGGTTCAATTCCTGCTACCCTCAGTTGCATATCCGATCTCCCCTTATGAGTAGCATAACATAATACATATGACTCTAACTCCTCGTCAAGCTCATCCGTATCATCTGGTTGACGTATCTCCATGGCCGTTTATTATGGCTTTCTCTGTATTTTCTGGTGCTATTGGTCTAGTAGCTTGGCTAACTCATCACGCTGTAAACCCATTGACCTTTGTTCCAGCTATTCTACTTGTACCTACCCTATGGTTCCGTGATATTGTACGTGAAGCCAAAGGTGGTTATCATACTACCGCTGTTGCAAAAGGATTGTTGATTGGATTCCTACTGTTCCTAATCTCGGAAATTATGTAGTTCATTTCGTTCTTTTGGAGTTATTTCCATGCAAGTCTTGCTCCAAACATCGAACTAGGTTCGCAATGGCCTCCAGTAGGCATCACATTCCTTGATACATGGTCTCTACCTCTTATTGGTACCTGTATCCTTCTAGCATCTGGTTTCATTTTGACATGGGGTCACCATGCTCTAATTGCTGGAGATAAATACAGTGCTATCCTAGGTACATTTTTGACTGTCGTATTTGGTGTTGCCTTTGTATATATGCAATACACTGAGTATAGCTATGCTCCATTTACAATTGCTGATTCTGTTCTAGGTTCGGTCTTTTATACGACTACTGGTCTTCATGGAATTCACG